GAAAAGAGGTGGTAGGAGGGAAAAAGAAAGATTTCCTATACAGTATACTTTTATACTGGAGACATCACGGCAAACGTCTGCTCCCTATGCCACAATATGGTACTGTTGACAAATTCTTCAATAGCAACAGCCACAAACATCAACATTACGTAAAACTATAAAATTATAAAAGAAACAAAGCACTTATTTCAAAGACATGTTAATAAAATTCGCTACTCACTTCTAGTCTTGTATAGCAATCAGCAATGAACTTCTTATGTAAAGATACTGAATCCTGAAAGTAAAAGGTATATGGAAATTAAAATCAGTCTGTGACATTTAGTTGTCATCACTCTTCAGGACAAAACATCAAAATAAAGAAGCCAGTTTTTGGGCATGCCACGGATCACAGCTTATCAATGGAAAATATGTAATTTTCTGCTTTTCTATGTATGAGTAACTTCTTTCCTAAGATACCCACCTTCTTTAACCTAGGATTTAGATTAATGTAACTATAGTTGATGATTAACTGAATAGCTTCATTAGCAATTTCTTCATCAGGTGATTCCATGGCTATTTTCCAAATGAAATCCATTCCTATCAATTCCAGCTTTTCTACATACTGTTCAAAAGAAAAAACAAAAATTATATATCACATTAGGATCACAGAATTGTAGACCATTATTTTCTGTTACATCATGAGTTCAAAGCTCTTCAGTTCAACACGAATTAAGGCTGTAAAGACTCAGCTATATATGAAAACACTACTGCACTGATACAGAATTTTAAAACAAAAAACAACCAACCACAGAAGCATTGGGCAACCTCCATGGGAACCAGGATAGGTATGGAGATATTCCTCCAGACAACCTAAACCCACACTGAACATAAACCCAGACAGGCTACTGAGCAGAAACAGAAGAGTGAGATGGGCACTGTCTTCGTGAGTTTTTCTTCAAAAGGAAATGGAGTCAAGCGAGAATTCCTGGGTCTCAATCTGGTCTTCACATAGCTCAGTTAGAAATAACAGGATTTGGGACTTATGAGATCTTGTAAAAATTCTTACCACTCCAGGAAGCCAGGTTCTGAATGAAAAGCACTGGAAAAGAGTTAGTTTTTGCCTTTTCTTTTTAAGGGGCATGAGTAAATACAAACATAAGCTATATACATTTCTATAGATCCTCATTTTCCTGTTTCACTATTCTATTCTTCTATTCTTACATTTTTTATCTTACATTTTTATCTTACATTATTTTACATTTTTATCTTACATTTTTTATCTTACACTTCTATTCTTACATTTTTCTCCTTAAGTCCCTGCCATGGTTATCCCAGGATTGAAGACTGTGCTTACTTTTTAAGGTACGTGAATTGCTAGATCTGAGGAGTTCAAAGCTTAGATGAACTGTCCCCACTCTGCATTCGCCTAGCCACAGGAAGCCACTGGCTATTGCTAGATCAGCAAGAAGCAAAGAGAGTGATCTAAGAAGTGAGTTATGTTCTCCCAGGCAGTCAGTGAGGTGTGGTGGTGCTGCAAAGGGAGCCTCCATGACACTCTAAGAGAAGCTCTGGCATCAGCGCAGGAGCTGGCAGTCTAGGACATCCCATTCTTTAAAAAGTCCATGT